CTCCAAAGTTCTGCAATTGAAAACACTGCAACAAATTCTTATTCAAATTACATTCTCAAAAGTGTGAAATTTGATGTACATAACTATATAATGAAATTCTATAACCGAATTAACATAAAAAATGCTGAACAGGGCTTTTCAGTTAAATAATGTCAATTGCAAAAAAAAAGAGTGTACCTAGTGCAGAGAGCTCTCACTCTGTGCGGGGTCTGGAGAAGGGTGTTAGTGGCAAGCCTTACCCTCGTCTATGCAATGCGAGGAGACCGCGACTCGAACCCGGGACCTTCCGGTCATAGGCGGTAAGACTCTACCGCTTGCACCAGGCCTGCCCTTCTAAATAATGTCAATTGCAAAAATGCAATTATTGCAATGGAACAGATTCCAAGACTACGGATACTGCAAACTTGAAGCCCCATTGCTTTGGTGCTAATTATGTTATCCGCAATGAGAATTGAGAAAAGAAGAGCAAAGTGTGTCACTTACGTAGTCCGGATGCAACACCACGAGCCAATCTTCCAAACATTCACAAGTTTGCCGTCACCAGCAGATGCGAATAAAGGTCCACTCACACTGAAGCAAATAGCTCTTATAGCGTCTGGATGAGAATGGCTGCCAGTCATTTGACAGGTGAAACTGGATGGCCAGCCTGTTAGAACCAAAACACAGGTTTGGGACTAAATTTCAGATTTCATTAGCCATGCCACAACTATGGCAGGTTGGGAATACATATAGGATAGCTTGCTTGAGCCTTAAGAAAGCTTGCTTGAGCCTTAAGAAAGCTACAGCATATTCTAGAGATGCTAAAGTGCATGCTAGGGATAAAGATAAGGCTGACACAGCCACCAACTACTCTAGATAATTATTCTAAGTAGATAAGGACAAGACTTATAGATGTCACAGCCCTGGAGGAACAAAGTAAATATTTACTTACATTCCACCAGGTGAAATGCAAAGAAAAGGTGCTCCCGCTTCTCACTGGAACATGTGAATTCAGGATTCAGCAATATAAAACTAAGCACCTAGGACCTGACAATTTCAGTAACAATTTACACAATTAGACTAGCGAGACTAGCAAGAATTTCATTGTTTTCTTAAAGCAAATTTCCCATTCCTCCACACACGAAACTAAGTTATAAGAGAATACAACTAAAGGATGAGAACATAGATTCAGTTCAAAAAAGCACAACAACCTCCTCCACCAAAATATACCAATCGTGTAATCAAACACGAGCACTTTCTGCATAAGAGGTCCATGTTTAATTAGGAAGCAGCCATAAAAGTGAAGAGGGTCTTCCAATTTCCGAACCTGAGATCGAACAGGAGCCCGGACCCGATGGCGACGGAGTTGCCGTGTGCATGGGCGGCGACGAGCACCGGCGCCAACTCCGCCGCGCCACTCACCTCGGGCTCTTCGACCGCTGTGTCCTCCAAACCTGAGATCGAACAGGAGCCAAATTTCTTTTTACTCTGCATGAGGGACCCTCTCGGCTCTCCGCTGTCGAGCTGAGCGAGCGGCCTTTCAAGATGTTGTATCCCTGAGCAGGGAGGTGGTACTAAGCAGAAGGTGCTTGGGAGGGAAGGGAATCAGGCCAGCATGCCGTAGGAGTGGGACAGTTAGGGCGGCGACGAAGGAAGAGCTGGAAGCACTTAATTCCGCCGCGCCGCTTATTTACACCTTTGGTCAAACTAAATAAGTTTTTTACTTCGACCTTACTGTGTCCTCCATTAGAAGTTCGTATTTTGCAGCACCACATATGGAAGGCTGTCCCGTTTAGCAAAATATACAAGCATGGATTTACGGATGGCTATGCTTTCCGCCTGCGCTTTCCATTGTATATCTCCTCCGCGAATATCAAACCGGGCGGCGGGACGTTTTGTCTAGGACTAGTTTTGCTGGGGCGCGGCGGCATTGGTGGCGAACGAGATGGGGATGGGCCGAGACCATAGGGCCTTGGCCGGGCAGACGCAGCGGGACGGCGGCATGGCGGAGCAACGAGGGGATGGGCGAGAACGGCGGGCATTTGCGGGGGGGTGAACGTGACGCTGGGCATTTGCGGGCGACGTGACTCGAAAGTTGACGACTCGTTTTTCGAGCAGAGATCCTCCTGATTATCTCGCACTTCTAAAAGTCAACCGATCTAAAGTTCAACTAGATTTATAAAAAAATAGTATATATTTATATCTCCTCTAAATAGATTTACTATACAAATATGTATCGTAATTAATCTAATGATATGTATCAAATATCATAAGCATTATTGCTTTTGTGTATATATTTACTCAAAACAAAATTGTTTGACTCCTTGAATTATTTTGAGACGGAGAGAGTATATATAATTACGATAATGATAAGCCATGGTCGTTCGCCAGTGACTCCCGTCTGAATGTGGTGTGGCAAGAGCAGGCCCCATCTCTCCATCTCTCTCACAAACAAATAAAACGAATCCTCACTCGCTCATCCTTATCCACCAGGCACCCGACACAGCAGCGTGGCCACTCATTCGTCCGCGCCCCTTCTCCCACTGTGCGCTCGTCGGCTGTCGCGTCGTGCCCCACCGCCCCGCGCCCCCAATGCCAGCTGCACCGCGCGCCCGTCCCAGACACATGTGCAGCTCGCTCCCTCGTCGTCCGTCTCCCATCGCCATCGCGCACGCCGCTGACCTCACCATGGCCGTTGGGGCGTATGTGCCATGGTACCTCAGGTCTTCCTCGGCCGAGTCAAGGGCACCCACGAGCGCATGCGGTGCTAGTGGTGCTCGCATGTCGCGGCTCGCCGCTAGCTCCGACCCCGATGGCTGTAATCGATCAACCCGGCCTTCCTCTCCCTATGTTGCATATATATGTTTCAAGTGTTTCAGGCATTTAGATGTATGTTGTAATTGTTTTATCTTGATATTGCAAAAGTAGATCGAGAGATTTTGCATATATTGCGTATGTTACAAGTGTTCCAGAGACATGTTGCAAGCGTTTGTTCAAAATGTTTCATCTATTTTCAGACATATGTTGCAATCGTCTAGATGTTGCATATGTTACAATAGTATGTTCGGTTGTTTCATGTTACTTGCATATTGCAGGTGTTTTTATTTTGCATGTTTCATGTGTTTCACACACATGTTGTAAGAGCATATTCCAAATGTTTCATCTATTTTGTCTTATATTGCATTCATGTTGTAAGTGTTTTATGTTGTCCGGCTAGAAACGAGCCGGAGTCAACGGATGAATTTGCGCGCTGGGGCTGGCAGATGGAGGTGCTTGGGGCCAGTGGACATGGGGCTACAGGTCGGGGCGCGCTAGGGCGTGCTCGTCCTCAGCCGCTCATTCCGACTCCCGTGTGTCACTCGCGCGGAGAGTCGGAGAGAGAAGAGGGTCAGAGAAGGACCGACGCGCGCAGGGACAGGAGCAGGACGAAAGCCGGGGGTGGGCTGCGCGGGCATATGGGACGGACACGGCGCTAGCCACGGCCTTGTAATTATGCTTAAGCCTAGGCGTTCGGTAACCCGAAATTTTTGGGTCGGGTAATTCGTGTAGTTCGAAATTCGGATAATAGAAATCAATACCCGATATTTGCTTTAAAAAACACTACCCGATATTTCGGGTACCGATAATTCCGGTTCGGTTATAACCGACCACCGAGATTCTAAAAAAATCGGTGTGTAGAGTTCAAGCAGCATAGCTGGTGCGGCGTGGTGCCGGGGTCCTCCTCGGCTCCTCGTCCCTCAATCTGCCCCGCGCGCTCCTTCTCGGCTCCTCGTCCCTCGATTTGCCGGGGTCCAGGTGCATGCGTCGCCTAGCTGCTCGCGGAACAGCACTGCCGGCCTGCTACCTCTGTGGCCACGCGTGGGAGGTCGCCGTCGCAAGCTGGACCACTGGAGCTTGGAGGTCTCGAGGAGGAGTCCAATTGAGGGCTCGATACTCCACCGCTCGAAGACTCGAGGCAGAGCCGCGCCGCCGCCCGCTAGGATGCTAGGTTTTGCGACTTCGTGTTCGCGTGTCGAGGACTCGAGGCTATCTCACGGGGAGTCACGGTGGGTTTGGGGGATTTTTTGTGCTGGGATGGGATGCTGGGCTCTCTGTTGGGCGTATGAATTAGACTAAGGCTCGTTCGTTTGCCCTTGATTCCACCGGGAAGGTGATCAAAGTTCAAATTAACATAACATTTCTGGTTGGAATGGTTCCAGAGATGCATTTCCTGGCAACCGAACGGCCCCTAAGTTGGGGCTGCTGGACGTTCATGTATATATATCGGGTATTTAAGTAATTCGGGTACCGTAACTTATTACCAGAACTACCAAATTTTATCTCGGGTATCTCAAGTTAATATCCGAACTATCCAAAATAATTTTGGGTCTAGGTAATTCAAGTCCAGGTCCAGGTAATTCGGGTTCAGTAATGGTATCGGGTTTTTTACCCAGGCTTAATTATGCTCATATATGATCAGTCCAGGCCCAATGAAGCAACAATCACTTGGCAGCTTCCACAAGCGCTCGACCTTCACTAATAAAACAGCTGTTAACTCTCCAGCACCACCAATTGTTGCAAAGAGCACAAACACAGAACAAGGAGAATTTTGAGAGATACAACAAATCATTTCAAATCGTGCCAAGAAAGATTCAAAAAAAATTCGTGCCAAGAAGGCGGTATCACTTCTCCAACTAGTTTCAGACGACTAGAAAAGATAACAACATGGCATACAGCACTACGGCAGGCAAGTTTTTACAGAGTAAGGTTCTAGACACAGTGCATGCAATCAGTGACCTTCAAGCATGGCATCAAGTTTAACATCAGAAAGCCAGAAGGTACAAAGCATGGAGCAGTTTGTGAACGGCAGACCGCAGACCCAACTGGGCTGAATAGGCTAAGACAATCTACAAATGACATATCCTGATAGCCAAACGAGTACTCCAACTCTCAAGCAAATGAACAGGATGTCGGTGCCTCCTTTTCTCCTACTCATCAAAGCGTCACAAGAACATCTAGCTGAAAAAAAACTGACAGTCACTTTAAAGTTCCCCAAGATAGATCTGCTTGTCGCTGCTGCAAGATCCAATGATCGGCTCAGTGGGATGGAAAGCAGTCTCATTGACAGAACCATTGTGCCCAGGAAGCTTGTACAGGATGCGCCTTGATGTTGTGTCCCAGATGTAGACCATGCGGTCTGCGCTCCCAGCAGTGACCTTGCGGTTATCCGGCGACCAGCTACACTTCAGCAGGTTCTTCTCAAAGTTATGCTGGTGACCTGTAAGAGTCTTGATGTTCCTGTTCTCTGGTGCGTAAGGGCGCAGATCCCAGATCTTGAGCTCGTTATCCATTGCATTGGTGAGGAGGTAAGACCCATCAGGACTAAGCTGCATCCCAGTGATCATGTCCTGATGTCCTTTGAGATATTCTGTCACTTCATTCTTGCGAAGATCCCACCACTTGACGTCGTTGTCCAGGCCACCAGTGAATACCTTATCTGCTGCCTCTGAGAAGCTAACGGCTGTGATCTGATATTTGTCAGGAAGAGTTTGTATCGCACCTCTCTGACGCAAGTCCCACAGCTTTGCTGTACCATCATCTGAACCGCTAACCACAAGAGGTGGCCACTTCCGTGCTGGGCAGCATGAGTTGACGAATGATGAGTGCTCAGTCATCTTCTTAACTTGTTTGCCAGTCTCAACGTCCCAGACCCTCAGAGTCTTGTCAGGACTTGCAGAGATGATCTGGGTCCCATCAGTAGTCCACTGAAGGTCAAGAATAGCATTCTTGTGCCCTCTCAGTACCATGAAGTTCTTACATTCACCATGGACATACCATAAGAAGATATCCCTGTCATGGGAACCTGATGCTATCACAGTTCCCGCAGGATTGAACTTCATGCAGTAGATAGCACTCTGGTGACCTGTAAGTAGCATTATCGGTGCCTCCAGGCTGGATGTGCGCTGTTTGCCTCCAGGCCCCGGAGCCTGATTTGGATGTTGAACATTAGCCAACTCCATCCCTGGTCGTGGGGCTACAAGAGCCAAAGAATTGTTGCCTGGAGCCGAGAACATCTTGAAGTCTGTATATATAAGATCAAGCTCCTGTGGCAAGGAAAATTATAAGATAGCTGCACGAAGTGCACATCACACACAGACCACAACAGAGATGTACACACACATAAAAACAACACCAAAAAATATTGACTCCAACCTTCAACTCACATTTTATAACCATGTATAGAATCACAGCGAATTATCTCTACAAATCAGTGTCTTTGACAAAGAATGGAAGTGAAGCCCCCAGCTCAGTATATCCAAATAGAAAATGAATATAACAAATGCCAATAAAACAGTATTACAGCATTATAGCAACGATCAAGCCAAAATGTTAGGTCATATGTGGAGAAATAACTAAACAATAGCTGAAGCTAGTTCAAACTTGGCATATATATAACCATTGATCTAGTTTACATGCAATCAACCTATCAAAAGTTTGATTGATAATCAGTTACATTTGTTTACATTGATACAAAACATTTGAAAATGGACAGGATGGATTTTTTCTCAAAAAAAAGTTTCATTATCATAAAAAACTTTGGCAGTCAACAAATACATTATAGTAGAAATGTAGTTGAAGTTGTGTTCGGGGGACCTGGTCCATCTACAAAACACCAATCTTCTGCGACTGAAGGGAGTAGTGTCAGCTACCAAAACTGGCCACAGGCCACATGAGATGCAGCACAGATACGGATATGTGTATCGTTATTGGAAGGATACGGATACAACAATTTCTCAAAAAAAAAACAATATGCGGATACATTTTAGTATTTTTTAATACAAATAAACAATAATGCATATTAAAATCTTAAAACATAACTTCATAAGTTCATAGCGCATACTGCATACATTATAGTGATACATGAAATTCACAAATAACAAGTCCATACTAGAGTTTAGTGAGTTCACCACAGGTCCATAATATGAGAAATTGACAAACAAGAAACATAGCAATCTTTTTGCTATCATTGCCTGAATAAGGGTACAGTAGGCAAGGTCACAGTGTGTTGCTTTCCTCTTTCCACTAATTCTTTACACCTTTCAATTTCCTTCCCCATTTCACTAAGCATTTCACATGTAACCCATGGACATTTACTTATCCCCCTTCCTGATTTTAGCAGCAAATGTGCTTCAACTCTAGTGCAGCTACTGAGCTTTTGCGTTGGACAATATTTGCATCTCCATAAAAGCATTCCCTCCACCAGATCTAGGCCTCTCCAGAATGTTGACATGATCCCATAGCGGAGCCTTAATGTCCGTTGTGGCCACAGATCCTACACTAGCACTAGCAGAAGCACTATCACTACTCAAATTTGGAGAAAATTGGAGATGCCATCTACTGGATACTTGGATAAGTGGATAGAAATAACACTAATCAGGAACAGGGAGAGGCAACTAGCAGAAGCACTAGCACTACTCAAATTTAGAGATGCCATCTACTGGATACTAGATTAGTGGATAGAAATAACACTAATCAGGAACAGGGAGAGGAGGAAGTGGAGAACAAGAACTAAGGAAACAGAGTAGATCGAGAATGGGGAAGGCCGGAAGGCGATAAACTCACTGGTCACCACTCGCCAGAGCCCGGAGGACGCCGGATCGAGAATGGGGAAGGTCGGAAGGCGATAAACTCACCGGTCACCACTCGCCAGAGCCCGGAGGACGCCGGATCCACGCTGTGCCGACGGATTTATCCCCTGTCCCCAGTCCCGTCGGCGTCGTGATGGCTCTTCCCAGTGGATCGGCAGTTTGGCAGAGAAGGAAGAACTCTCCGGTGTGGCCACTGGCTTTCGCGGAGGCTCGTCAACGTCGGCCGGTAAGCGGCGGCGCTCGCTCCTCCCACTGCTTCGTCGGCGCTCGGTGCTGCCGAGTGCGGGAGGCGGCGCAAAGGAGCGCGACTCGAGAGGGGCAGGCTAGGGTCAGGTCGGGGTGGGCAGGTTACTACCGTGCGGTCTGCCGCTTGTTGGGCTGTATCCATCGCGTAGATACATATTGGCTCGGATCCATGGGTCAGAGCTAGTTTAGGTTAGTTAAAGCTCAAATAGTTCTAAAGTAGCTAAATAGGAGGGTTAGAGTGGGTTATTTGTAACTAGCCCACCCTAAAAAACTATCTTCCCAAAGAGGTGATTATTTGGGCTAGTTGGGGCTATTTGAGGTGGGGTCCACTGTTTTCTCTCTACTTTCACCTGCACCAATGATTTGGAAAGCACATTTATTATCATTTTAACCCTTGTATCCAAACATCTCTTAGGCTAGAGTTAGTTCAGGACTAATTCTGAGCTAGAAACTAACTTTAAGCTCTAACTGTGCTAGAGTATCCAAACAGGGCCATTGGCCCATGTACTAATATGTGTCAGCTGTAACATATCCATGTAACGTAAGGGGCACGTCAGGATAACTTCACAGGGACAACAGGGCACGAGTGAACATGGATAAGATGTTTAGTTGAGTAAACGCGCGTGTTTAGTTGAGTAAAGTTTGGAATTTGGGCTACTGTAGCACTTTCATTTTTATTTGATAATTAGTGTTCAATCATAGACTAATTAGGCTCAAAACGTTCGTCTCGTAATTTCCAACTAAACTATACAATTAGTTTTTTTTCGTCTACATTTAATGCTCCATGCACGTATCACAAGATTTGATGTGATAGGTACTGTAGCACTTTTTGGAAAAAAAAAATTGAAACTAAACACGGTAGGTGTTGCAGCAAAATAACAGGAAGACATCACAAGGTCAGAGCTTTTGGCTTGGTTACAGTCAGCCATGCACAAAGTTGACCGGAACTGGAGTGGCTTTGGGTCATAGAAGCTAGCAAGATCCAGCACCTTATGTGTGTGAATGCAAATTGTGGCCCCGTTTGGCTTACCTTATAATCCACACTATTCAGCTTGTTTTTTTAGTCGAAACAATATTTTTCTCTCACAACAATTCAGCCAGAACAGTGTTTTCAGCCAGTTCAGCCAAGTTTCAGCAAGCCGAACGGAGCCTATATGTGAACCTGAATTCTGCTGGGAGCTAAAACATGCCGGGGCATTAGTTTCGATCCTCAGTGCCATAGAATATCACTACACACTATTATTTACAGAAGAGCCTAGCAGCCTGCTCGGCAGCTCGTATTCGGCTTATAAGCTTTGGCTCATCAGCCATCGAACAGTATTTTTCTCTCACACCAAACCAGCCATCAGTATTTTCAGTCATAGCTTATAAGTCAATCCAGCCGAAACGAATAGGCGGTAGATAAGCTAAATGTCCTGGACATTGAATATGAACAAAAGTATTAACAATGTTTTACATGGAATGCCCATACATGTGTGTGTTTGTAGAACAAAAGTATGTGTAATGCAATGGCACAAATTGAATTCTAGCAACAACTATCTAAGTTGCACGGATACGGATACGGATACGGATACGGATACGTGGATACGGAAATTTCCAAAAAAACCCTGATACGCGGATACGTTTACTATTTAAAAAATAAAATAGAAATAATAATAATAATAATAATAATAATAATAATAATAATAATAATAATAATAATAATAATAATGCAGGTCTGAATTTATAACTTATAACAATAAAATATCACAATTAACTACTTAAGTGTACTATTATTATAGGAGAGCAGGTCTGAAGTCTCCTAAACTCTTAAATATAGTAGTCTCAAATTTAGGAAATTAATAAAAGGCATCCAGGCTTGCAATTCATGCAGCAGCAAGTTCCTATTCCTCATGTCTCATTGTCATCCGCAACATCAACCTGCGGAGCATCCAAACTAAAAGTCATAGCTTGCAATTTAGGTTCATCAAGGGACAGTTTGGCCACTTCAAAAATGCCAATACTGCCAAGCGAATCAAGGGACAGGCCGCCAGCAACAATAACTCACTAACTGCACGGTAGAAATAGAATAGATCGAGAATGGGGAGAGGAAGATGAAGTGGGGGAGCAAGGAAATCAAGCAACAAGCGGCCATGAACCGAAGAAGAGGAGGAGATCGAGAACAGGGAAGGGGATTAATTCATGGGAGTTCGCTGGAGCCTGGATCCACATCGCAGGGGCGGAAAATCATCGGGGGCGGCCGGCGAGTAGGGACGGAGGCTCGTCGCCGGCTAACGGAGGCGGAGGCTCGTCGCCGGTGGCCGGCGGCCGGCGAGCAGGGGTGCGGCGCGAGGCGCGGGCGTGCGGGAGTTCGGGGATTGGATGGAGGTTTACGGCGCCGGGGGAAGAGGGAAAAGGGTAGTCTTACTGGGCTGGGCCGTATCCACAAGGCCGATACGTATCAGCCCACATATCCAATATTCACGAAAATAATAAAAATTTGGATAATTATAAAAAAACGGATACTCCGACGATACGTATCCTGAGCGTATCGGGCTGATATGTATCGGATACGCGATATGCGACTTCCTGGACGTATCCGTGTAACATAGACAACTATCTTGTGTCCTATAAACTATATAATGATATTTCTCAAACAGATTAACCCCTCAGCCTGTGGTACAAACAAACAGAGGCCAATCTAGGATTTTAATTTCGAGTACACGCCGAGCCAATGCACCAATACACAATTTGATATGATCCAATGAGCAATTAGCTAAACAACTATAAAATTTGCCGAGCGTCTCGGTATACAAGTAGAAAATAATTAAAAGTATAATATATTAAAACATCACATAATATCTTAAGTTGAACATTTAAGTTTGGAATTTGCATAAACTACAATACATGTACAATCTAAAGAGCCGTTTGAATCCTTTGGGATTCTGAGAACTTGGATTAAAAAAATCTATACACCATCCAAACGGGGGAGATTTTAGAGCATTATCTACTCACAAATTTTTAGAATCCCAAAATCCAATGAAACTTGGATGATGTGGGATGCTAGAATCTAAGAATCTTTATCCCATCCAAACGGCACCTAAGAGTTCACACACTAAATCCACAATTTGAGAACTATTAGACCCCTGGACACCACGTTCCCAAATTGCAGCTCTTCTGTTACTAACGAGAGCAAACTA